TCCACTGGTGCTTTCCAATCCCACATAAACATGCCCAAGATCCTCTTAATTTAAAAAAAGGGGTAGAAGGAGTAAACTTCTCTAAATCCCCTGCATCTCCCTTCACCTATACTATTTGTTCAGTTCTTTTGTTGAAAACACTGTATCCCTCTCAATTAGCTACCTTCCTAGCTGTCATTGACTCTTCAACCCCCTTACCCCCAAAGCACTACAATGTAGCTACCTGCTCTAGCTGAAGTTACGAATGACTTAATCACCAAGTTTCAGGGACTTCTTCCAGTTATCTTACTTGGCCTTTTAATGGCAGGATACAGTACTGTCCATTCCTAGTCCTTGAAATATTCTTCTCCCTCAGCTTCTGTGACAATTCTCGCACAGTTCTTTTTTTTCAGCTTTGGTCTCTCTGGCACAGATGTTTGGCTTCTCTTAGTTGTCTGCCCCATTCAGTAGCTCACAACAGAAATATGGGAATCATGCTAAATCTTCAATCTTGCTCAATTCTGTAATCTGATTATTTACCCTGTCCTGTTGATAATACTTCCTAAACCTCTTATACATCCACCCCTCTTCTACATCTGTCATCATTTCTCATCAGGAATATGGCTTCCTAACTGGTCTTGCTTCCAGTTTTGCCCTTCTCTAATCCAGCATTCACCTCACTGCCTAGAACACAAATATGATTCTATCACAGCATAATTTTTCCCCCCACTAAATCCTCACAGCCTTCAGGACAAAGTTAAAGCTCCTTAGTTTGGTTCATAAGGCATTCAGTGATTTGGCTTCTTATCACTTCATCAGCTCCTGTTCTAAAACTCTGCTGTCCACTTGTGCCTACTGAGTACTTGAACATGGCTAGACACAACTGAGATGTGGTATAAGTATAAAATACATACCAGATTCTGAAGACTTTGTATGAAAAAGAGAATGTCAAATATCTCAATAATGCTTTTTTATAGTGATTACAGATTGAAATAAAATTTTAGATATATCAGCTTAAATAAAATATATTACTAAAATTAATTTCACCTTTTCCTTTTTTAACATGGTTAATAGAAAGTTTTAAAATACATATGTGAATTACATTTGTGACTTGTATTATTATATTTTTACAGAACAGCACTGGTCTAGAATGTCCTTTCCCTTTTTCTGAACCTAGTTAACTGCTATCTATTTTTGAAGATTAGCTCAGGTAACCCACTAAGATGCATTTTGGGACATGCCCCTCCCAAGACCCCAAGTCTTAGTCAACTACCCCTCCTGCTCTGTGCTTCCATCCAAAGGAATCTGCTTACACCTGTTATATATCACTCCACATTATAATTATTGGTTATCAGCTATCTTCTCCTCCTAAACTATATGCTCCTTGCAACAAGGCATATCATTGTACATATACTCAGGGCTTACCACCATGTTTACCACTTAAAAGGCACTCAAAATATTTGCTGAACATATGTGAACTATCTATTCCTGGCCTGAAAGTTACTAGAATTTCTCCAAGGAAAACAAACCAGCAAAGAAGGAGTCTAGACTTTCCCAAGAGCTCCAGTAATGAAAGGATCAGAACGAAGGTAGGGAGTAGGAATTGAAGTAAAGAGAAGAGCAATAAGAAAATAAAGCTCATCACACACAACTACCTCTTACAGTGAAAACAGGAATTTACAGCAGTGAAATGGAGCCTTGAACTCAACTTGGCATGCCAGGGGCCACAGTTTGGTTCCTAAATTACTCAAATAACCCATCCAACAAAAGAGTATGATTTGGCAGGTTTCAACACAAACAGCTAGAGCCCAGCACCTGTTCCACTTAAACAGAGCATCATTACAGTTAAAAACAACAACAAATCTCTCTTATGAAGCAAACACTAATCTCATGGTGCTTCACCACGGAACAATTTAGAAGAGTTATTATATCAAATGTGCCAAAGCATGAATTTATGGATGATACTTATTTGGCAAATATGGTTGGCACTGCTAGATGTTGAAAAACATGTATGCAAATAAGAAAATAAAATTTTTAAGCTCTCAGACTTAAATATTTACATTATCATAAATGTACAAAGATAAATGTTCATATGTAAACACATACAACACATTCCAGGAACACATTTTTTAATGTGATTGTCAGGAACAGTTATGAAGTGGCATTATTTCTTTATGGGCCTCAGGGTAGACTCTTAAAAATGACTTCTGACAGAATGTTAATGGGGTACAAAAATTATGGAGGAAGTTTTTCTGTACTATCTCTGGGTAAAATGAATAGTCACAGTATCATAATAGTTCAAAGCAATCTTATCTTTTCCTTTCACCAAAATACTTTTCTTCCCATCCTGGAACCCAGCCAAACATAAATGTCAAACCATAAATGCGTGGGGGCGGGGAAAGGATGAAGAAGAGGACCACACATCAAAAAGGCTTAAAGAAAATAATTTGACATTTTTTTCCCCACATAATATAGTCATGTTAGAGTCTCCAAAAATAAAGACATGATAAAATATTTCCCCTCTTCCCCTCTGACAGTTTTGGAAAGATGTTTGTTTTTTTCACATAGTTTGTGAGTTGGTCATAGCCAAAACTCACTAGCAATGGTATGAATTCTGCTTCCATTGCTAACTGTTAATCTCTGGGTCGAGGCTACAACTCCCATCTCTGAAGGCAAGAAAATGTACCATACTTGCCATTACAGTTTACTAAACGAGTCACCGAAGAGAAGTGCCAGGCACTTCAGAAAGTAATTAGGGTAGTCAGTGGACTGAGCTATCTAGAAATGTTCTGAGATTATAGAGAAGCCATCATGAAGCAAGTATTCAAGATTGCTCATGGAAAGTTTTACCCCTGTGGATAATTCACGGTTTTCACTTCTGCACTGCAGAGAGCAATATGGGTTCTCCGACTATACACATTACCACATCATTTCATTTATCAGGGGAAAAAAAAGAAAAGAAAAAAAGGCGTTGTGGCTGAACAAAAATCAAGAGGTAGGCCCCAAAACAGAATCCTCAAGGCAATCCCAATTCAGGTGAAAAGCTGTGGACATACATCATACAATGACCTAAATATAGCCTTTCATGTAAATCTCCAAGCATTTAATTCAACGTATAATCTTACCACATTTAACAGAGGCAGAAGAAAATGTATTAAGTTTTCTATAACAAGGCCAATAAAGATGAAATCATAGTTTTCCTTTAACTCGTCACTATCCCCTCAACCCCAACCTTGCAATAACTCCATTCCACAGCTCTCAAATTCCTAAACGGGGATCTTAAAAAACACAACGTATTGCAAAAAAGTTAACATTTAAAGGTGGGAGGGCTCCTCTTTCCTGTTGCTCTCAGCAGTCTTTAATGCAGTCAAAGGACGAAAAAAACGAAATCAAGCTCTCAGACGTATGGTGCAGGCAACAGGGAGGGAGTAGAGAAGGGGCTCAGACGGCAAGTCCTCAACGCAGGAGGTGAGAAAAGTTGCAAGAACGGACGAGTCAAAGTGCGAAGGAGAAACAAAACTGACCCAACGAACCACTTAAAATCCCCCCAAAACCGAGCAAACCCGCACGTTAGCGGGCTCACAAATCGTAGAGCCAAGTGAGCAGGCAAAGAGTCACCGGGTTTCACCCTGGCGCTGCTGGCCAGGCTGCGCCGGATCCTCCGGGGTTTGGAGGTGGATGTCCGTGCAGACTTAGCAGGAGCGAAATAAGTCCTTCCTGCCCCAGCCTCACCGCGTCCGGCTCCTCCAGGATTCACTTTCCCCAGCAGCCTTCCAGCCGCGCCTGGGGGCGTCCCTCGCCGCCAGGTCCCAACTTTCCCTCCTCTGGGGGGCGCCGAGCTGCCGGGGCCGCCGCCGCCACAGCCACCGAGAGAGAGGGCGGGAGCGGGGGCGCGTGGGGGCGCGCGGCGCCAGCGGGCTCCGGGGGCGGCAGGGCGAGGGGGTGGCCGTGGCCGGAGAGCCCGCGCCGGGCCGGACGCACCGGCCGCCAAAGCCCCCGCGGCGACGCCACCCAGACCCCACGCCGCCCCGCCCGGATTCCCCCAGGTCAGCCCCCTCACCCCGTGGCGACCCAGGTCCCACAAGCCGGCGCGAGAGGAGAAGGGAAAGGAGGCGACGTGGGCAACCTTGCCCCAGTTACCTGAGGGGCTCACACGCCACCGCGGTGACTACCTTCGCCGGCCGTCCAGTACCCTTCCTGGTGACCGCGGCCGCCACCGCCGAGCAACTGACACTGACTAACAACAACTAACTAACTACTAGCCGCCGCCGAGTCCACCGCGCGCTCCCGGCCGCCCGTAGACCGCCCGGCCCACCAGCCTGCCCGCCTCCTCCCAGCCCGGCGCGCCGCCCCTCCGCGCGCGCACTCGCTGCCGCGCTCCTTGAGCGAACACGCGCGCGCGCGCACGAGTCCACGGCCCTCTCCCAGTCTCGCCTCAGCCCCGAGGGAGGAGTCACCATGAGGCCCCTCCTCTCGCGTTCCTACCTCCAGAGGAAGACACCTAGAGAGCGTCTGATTGGCTGAGGGAGGCGTGGCCAAAGGAAGAGGGAGGGACGACCAGGACCTTGGGCCGGCGTGAAGGAAAATTTCCGTTCAATTACGTACCAGGGGGAAAAAGGGAACGAAGTATTGGTCCATTTGGTGCCTAAGCCCCTTAGGTCTGCCTACAGTCGAATACAGGATATGTGTCTTCAAGGATTCCAGCACATAGTAATAACCAATTTAAGTCCCAATACTTTCTGCAGGCCTTAGCAATGTAAAAAACTACATCTCCCAGAAACCTCCGCGAAAATAAGTCTCACCTTGCGTAATCACGTAGTCCTTCGCCTCCTTTGAACAAAATAATCCCTCCATTTTTCTGAAGGTATGGGGAATAATATTTCATTTTTCTCCTCACCAGAACAGCCTTAAGTGCTGCATTAGAGAAGTTACCTATGGGAAGGTGGTTAAGCGATTAGGTAAAGGGAAAGAAAAGACATCAAAATAAAGTACTGCGGAGGAATTTTTGTCAAGCTGTGAGACGACGCAGTGAGAAGAGTGAAGGCGATTGAGAGGGGCTCAGGGAATTGTCCCCTGTGCCAGGGACTTTCTTTAGGCCCCAGGCCCCTGCCTACCCCTGTCGTCAGCAGGTCAGTAAGCAAGGCGAGCTTGGGGGTGGCCACAGTGGATGTGCCCTTCACCCCTTGAAGATCATCCCTCTTTTGCTGTTATTGGTTTGTCTCGGTTTGAGGCCGACTGAATGGGGGCGCCTCACTTCCGGTTGGGGGAGGGGAGGAAGGCCATTCTGGGGGAGGGGGGAACATAACTCACTTCCTGTGGGGGTAGGGTGATGGGTTGGGGTGTCCAACCCACTTCCTGTGCCGCCGAGGGCTTGAAAAGGTGATGCTTGTTGCCATATGGATAGACGGTATCTTAAAGCTTTGGGATTGTGTCTTACGTGAAAAGTTAGGTTGTTCCACGAAGTTGTGCTAATCACCAGCCTCCAGTCAGAATTTATGTGACTTGGTTCCAAGTGTAAGAGGAAAATTTTCTCCCCAGCAGAATTTTCTTAATGCGTTATTCAAAGAATTTGAAACCCCTTGTTAAAACCCTTTACTCGTCTCTACAATAAGACATGCTTTCTTGTGTGACTCATGAATTGCCCACCTCTTCTCCCTTACTCAAGTCCAACCTTGACTTAGTGAGGTTTAGGGGTGTTCTCTGCCTTGACATGCCACAGGAACTCTAGCTACTCTTAAGGAGGTCGTTTATTACGGACATCCTTAAGGACTCAATATTTTACATAAATTATGAAGCATTTTCACCTATCGGAGTGAAAATATCATACTGAAGTACTCAATTACTTGGTGTTACCTTAACTGATGTGATCGGGATCTTAAATCCTTAGACCTGTTGATTTTAGGCTACAGGTTCTGCCCTGGGCCTGAAAACAACTTCCTCAGCTTTAAAAATTCTTATAGGTAACTTACATGTAACAGCTGTGAAAGTTGCACTGTAGTACATTTTCCCCCTTTGTGACTTAATTAAATTCAGCACCGATTAAAAAATGGTGTCTGCACTTTGTAGTTTTAAGGCATGGTGCAGGGATCATGAGATTCGACTCAGATTTTAAGGAGGGGGAAAATTTGGCTCACGAAGGACTAAAGATGAATACCAGAATTATCTGTTTTTCCTATATTCTCAATGTTTTATAAGAAACTGTACGTAAAGTGGTAATGAACAGTCAACAGTTTGATTTCTTGGTTTCTGTTTTCAAGTACCACAGTACTTGGTAAGTTGGGGTGGGCAGGGTACTGAAGGAATCAATCTATTTGGAGTTTATGAAATCTCAACAACTTCAGTAATTTTAGAATATCAAGTGAATTGTAATGTCTTTCAAGAATTTTTAAAAGAATAAGGCCTGTGTATTTTTTCCTTTGGGGTTGTCACCTAATCTACCCTCAGAATTTGCAACTGTTTTAATTCTGGTTCTTTTCGAAAGCTAGTTTGTTTAGAGTTTATTAGAAAATGTGATTTAAACTAAAATGTTTAAACAACTGTAATTTAAATGTTACAGTAAGGAAAAAATATATGTTTTAACTTTCTATAGACATTAAAAAAAAAAAAAAAGCTAAGACCCTAAAATCAGTGAGTTATCTTTTGAAGGACTATAGAATTTCTGCAGAAGTTGAAAAAAGACACAGTTATGTCTGTGTTGTTATTAATAGGTTAGGGACATGTATACTGCCTCAAGCAACTATTAATTGATTAGAAAGAAAGTGTTCATTATCTTCTATATTAGTGTAATATAGAAGAATATATGATATGATCACCCTGACAAATTAAACTACAGTATTAAGAATTACTGGAGTGAGTAAAGATTGTGGAACTAAATGAAATAGATAGAGAAAAGATAGTTACAATATTGATTGAGATACAGCAGTATTGCCTTTAGGAAATTATCTTTGTAAAGCAAAGGAGTTTTTAAAATTGGTCTTTATACTATTCCAGGGAAGAAATGCAGTATAATAGAAATAAGAAAATTTGTTGCAGCTGAGAGACTTGAGCAGCTTGAAGAACTGTCTGTTCAGAAGAAAGCAATTTTTAAAGCACATATTTGAAAAAAGATGTTTTGTGATAACAGGCAGTTATTCATTAGTTCCGTCAAAGAAGAAATACTAGAAAAGCTTGTGAAAAATAGAGGGAAGTTCATGCAACCTGCTTTTATTCTCTTTAAAAGTGTTTCTGTAGAGAGGCTTGCTGTCTTCCAAAGGCTTTTTTTTTCCCCTTAATGTTCTTTGTTGCAGTTTTCTTTGCATGTTCTAATAGAAACATACTATCAAAATTAGAAAAGTAAAGACTTTTGTAAGTGTACTCTGTTACTTCTTTAAGTAAATGAATTTGAGGTTTTCATTTCATTCCTTGTCATCAATAATAAAGAGATTATCCATTTTTTTCAGAATATTTAGATTAGATAACCATTTTCATTTCCAAAAAGCAGTCATTGGATATACGGCTCACAGCAGTTTGAAATATTAAAACAGTAGGTCAAAATTCTGGATTCCATCTCACTGAAATTTGATTACCCACGAAGTACTAGATGCTATCTATAATGCAAAAGGGTCTTTTCATTCTTTTGTCTACCTACTTTTTAAAAATCATGCTATTGTTTTACAACTATTGCATTTTTGTATGTTTGTTGTTTTGGAGTTGCTTGTTTTTGCCATGGGGTTGAGTGTTACAGAGAATATGCTAACAACATGAATGGTTTTTAAACCTACTGTTCTGCTGTCTTTATTTCAGGGCCTTCAAGAGTATTCAAATGAGAATACCCCTGACGTGACTTTTCATTATTTCAAGAAAAGTTTATTGAGTGCTCACTGTATACTAGTCTCTGTTTTAGGGACTTGGAATACATCAGTGAATACAGACAAATATCCATATTCTCTTGGAGTTTACTCTCTAGTTTCCAAATCAAAACTGGAATTTTGCTCCCTGGATATTCCGAAATAAGCTCTATAGTGTGATCATTGTTCAAACTGATCAAGAAACAGCCCTAAGCTTGATCTCTCTTGGTCTTGATCTCTAAGCCATTCTAAACCCAGTTTTGAATATTTCAGTCTAATTTTTCTCCAGACCATTAAAGCCCATGTGTTAAATATTCAACCCTTTTATTTGATGCATGCATCATGACCCTACCATTCTAGCCTCCTTTGTTCACAAATAAAAGTGAACAATGGGGAAAATATGGGATCAGACAGGCCTGGGTTCAAAAGTGATGTCTACATTTTGCTAGCTGAGCTTCTTACTAGCTTGGTAACCTCTAACAATTTACTTGACCTCTCTGAGCCTCACTTGCCATAAACTTGAATGAGGTTATTTGGTGGATCAAGTATATTATATGTAAATCACCTGGCACAATGCCTGGTGTTAGCAGCTTAATGAATGCTATTATTTTTCCCCCAGTTTGCTCCTGTTATTCTAGCTATTGGGATTTGCCCACATGGCTGTTTTAAGCCTTACATATTCCCCGAAGTATGGGGATGCAGTGCTAGAATTATTCAAATTCATCCTTCCCCAGTCTCAGTGAGCTAAGCATGCTCACTTAGCTGTCAAGAGTTCATTTTTTGTTCCTTGTGGAAGGAGAAATCACTAATTTCCATGATTACTTTAGATAATAAGCATAATAGAAAAGTTTCAAGAAAAGGTTAAGGAATCACTAAAGTAATTTGAATTGTTAAAGGAAGACTTTTTGAATCATTCTTCTAAACCTATTTAAATACTAAGCCTAATATTCAAGACTCTTCTGTCATTACCCATCTACACATTCCTAACTAGATTGGTCTCTGAAAAAAAAAATTCTATACAGTATCCAGCCTTTTCTATCTTTGTTGATGCTATTCTCTGTGTGGAACACTTTCTCTTTTCCTGGGAATCCTTATCTATCAGAATGCCACCTTCCTTGTGGCCCTTTCTCAAGTACCACCTTCAGCTTCAAGAAGTATTGTCTGATGTCTGTCCTCTTCTCTGTCCTTTCTCCCAACCATATGTGTGTCTGTTGACCCTCCAGAGCATTTTGTTCTTTTCTTATGGCATTTATTATACAGTGCTACTGCTGTTGTTGTATGTTTCTGTTGTTACTGTACTGTCATATGTAGAGTTTATGAACTGTCATAAAAGTCTGCAGACTATAACATATTCCTATCTGTGTCTGCTGTCAAACCTCGCACAATGCCATTCACATCATAAGTATTCAGTAAATATTTGTGGAGTTGAATTGGCAATTGGGGTAGATGAAACTGATGAATAACATTTGTCCACTATTTATAGCCTGTAGTAAACACAGTGACCTATGTACTGTAGACACTCAAAGATCTGCTGAATGAAAGGGTAAGTAATTTGTGAGCATAGGGTATCAATATATTGAGCATACATTGAACACCTACTATATGATGACACCTATGAGAACTGATCCCTGCCCTCAATTTAATTGGAAAGAACTAAGTGGTAATTAATATGTACAGATTCTGAAGACTGAAGGTGTTTGAGTGAAGGTGGGGTAGGGAGTCAGTGTAGAGTTGTTTGCATTTTGAGAGATATCCCAGGCTGTCTGAACTCAGAAACAGGATAGATTTAGGTATCAAGAGATACTTAACTTGCAGTTCCACTCCTAGTTACATACCCAAGAGAATTAGAAATGTGTTCACACAAAAACTTTTCCCCAAATGTTCCTAGCAGCATTATTCATAAGAGCCAAAAAATGGAAACAGACCAAATGTGCATCAATTGATGAATGAATAAACAAAATGTAGTATAGTCATACGGTGGAAAATATTCATCAATAAAAAGGAATAGAGTATTGATACATGCTATAAAATGGATGAATCTTGAAAATATTACACTAAAGTGAAAGAAGCCAGGCACAAAAGGCCACATACTGTATGATTCCATTTATATGCAATGTCTAGAATAGGAAAATCCATAGAGACAGAAAGTATATTAGTGTGCCAGGGAGTGGAGGGCAGGGATGGGGAGTGACTGCTAATGTGTATGGGATTTCTTTGAGGGGATGATGAAAATGGCCTGGAATTAGATAGTGGTGATGAGTGCACAACCTTGATACTAAAATACCTTGTATACCAATATACTA